AAAAAAAAAAACAGGCAAAAGACTTGAATAGGCATTTCTCCAAAGATATACAGATGGCCAAAAAGCACATGAAAAGATGTTCAATGTCATTAGCTATTAAGAAAATGCAATTCAAAACTTTAAGATACTAACTAGGATGACCATTTAAGAAAAAAAAAAACAAGTGTTGGAGAGGATGAAGAGAAGGCAGAGCCTTCATATATTACTGGTGGTAAGTAAGAGTGCGGCTGCTGTGGAGAAGTTTCGCAGTTCCCCCAAAAGTTAAATTTAGATTTCTCATACAACCCACGAATTCCACTCTGAGGTATATCCAAAAAGACTGAAAATAGGTTATTTGTACAAATACTGTACACAAAGACTCACAGCAGCACCATTCTCAATAGCCAAAAGGTGGGAACAACCTAAACACCCATTAACAGATGAATGAGTGCACAAAAAATCATCTCTCCATACAATGGAATATTATTCAGACATAAAAAACAATGAAGTACTGATACATGCTACACCACCAATGAATCTCAAAAGCATTATACAGAGTGAAAGGAGCCACAGAGAAAAAGTCACATACAATTCCATTTAAATAAAATGTCCAGAATAGGCAAATTCATAGAGCAAAAAAAGGCAGACTGGTGATTGAAAGGGGAGAGGGGAACTGGCAGTGACTGCTTACTGGGTATGGGGTTTTCTTTCTGGGGTGATGAAAATATTTTGGGACTGTTCAGAGGAAGTGGTTGTACAACAACCATTGTGGGTGTACTGAGTACCACTCAACTGTATACTTTCAAGTGATTCATTTTATGTTATGTGAATTTTGCCTTAATTTTTTAAAAGAGAGGGAGTTCGGTGGGATACCTAAAGATGCAATTAACATTTTGTTAATTAACAGCTCTCACTGACAAATGATAACCAGCTAGAAAATATAAAAGATCTCTTTACAACAGAAAGAAAAACCACAAAACACCTAAGAATAAACTCAACAAAAAATGGGCAAGATCTATATGAAGAAAATGTTCCTATGGATGACAAAGTCAATTAAACAATAAAAGACTCAACATCAAAAAGATGTCAGCTTTTTCTTACTCTATTAACTTAATGAGATTCCAATTTTTAAAAACTCAATAGGGCCAGGCACAGTGGCTCACATCTGTAACCCCAGCACTTTGGGAGACCAGGGATCACTTGAGGTCAGGAGTTTGAGACCAGCCTGACCAACATGGTGAAACCCCGTCTCTACTAAAAATACAAAAATTAGCCAGGCATGGTGGCCAGTGCCTGTAATCCCAGCTACTTGGGAGGCTGAGGCAGGAGAATCGCTTGAACCCAGGAGGCGGAGGTTGCAGTGAGCTGAGATCGCACCACTGTACTCCAGCGTGGTGACAGAGGAAAACTCTGTCTCAAAAAAAAAAGCTCAGTAGGATTTATTTTGAACTACATATTGATTCTAATATTCATTTAAAAAAAAAAAAAATGGCAAGAACATATGAGGAAACTCTAAAAAAGAAAATTAATTATGAGTGAAAAAATTCCACCAGATTTTAAAATATACTAACTAAAACAATGAGGCATCAACATGTGAACAGGGAGATCAGTGGACCAGAACTGAATGTCTGGGAATAGACCTATATTAGTACACGGGGAAAGAAAAAATGGCATTTTCAATAAGTGGAGAAAAGATGTACAATTAATCAATGGTTTGGGTACAACTAGGTAATCACAAGGGAAATATAAAGTTGGATCCATAGCCTCATACCCCTACATGAATATAAATGAAGCCAAGATGTAATATTTTTTTTTTTTTTTAAGTGAAAGTATGAGCTGGGTACAGTGGCTCACACCTGCAATCTCAACATTTTGGGTGGTCAAGGCAGGAGGGTCACTTGAGTCCACGAGTTCGAGACCAGCCTGGGCAACAAAGCGAGACCCTGTTTCTACAAAAAAATTAAAAATTAGCCAGGCACAATGATAAACAGCTGTGGTCCCAGCTACTCTGGAGGATCCCTTGGGCCTGGGAACTTGAGGCCGCGGTGAAACATGATCATATCACTGCACTCCAGCCCAGGTGACAGAGTGAGATCCAGTCTCAAAAATAAATAAATAATTAAGTGAAACTATGAAAGTAATAGAATAAACTATGGGAGAATTCTTTTTAACCTCAGAACGGGAAAGATTTTCCTAGTTATGCCCCAAAATCAAAAGGGCATATAAGAAAATCATAACAAATTTAACCACGTAAAAATCTAAAATTCTTTCACAGCAAAGACCGAAGAAGAAAGAAGAAGACGACAAATGACAGTGCGAAAAACTATCTGCAACTCATATCACAGACAGAGCTTAACTTCCCTAATATATAAACAGCTCCCCCAAGTCATTAAGACAACTTAATAGGGAAGAAAATGAATACCGTTTACAAAAAAGAAAATAGAAATACGCCTTAAACACAGGACAAGATGCATAAATAAGAAAAATGCAAATTAAAACTAGGTAAGGTAAACAATTTTTGCCCTAACAATGAAAAGGATTCAAAAATTTGGTAACACTATGTTGTCGAAGGGACAGGAAAAGAGCCACATGCTCCAAGTGGGAGTTCAAACTGGTGAAATCTTGTTAGAAAGTAATTTGACAATACCTATCAACATCCTCTGATGAGGCAGGGACCTTCTAGAACATGTCCTGCAGACACGTGTGTGGAATGAACATTACTTGTAATAGCAAAGGGTTAGAAGTCATCCAAAAGTCCATCAGTAAGTGACTGGTCAAAAATATTACAATGCATCTACAGAACAGAACTCTACGTAGCCTTTAAAAAGGATATAGGAAGTTTCTTATGTACTACCATGAATTAAATCCCAAGACATGTTAAACTTAAAAAGCACAGTGCAGGATGTACGTGTGGGATGTGTAGTATGTGTAGGATGCTACAACTAGTGGTGGGGGAGTGTAAAATGGCAAAAGTGGAACACGTGCACATACACGTATACTTGCTTGGTATGGGAACTACGGGAGATTTTATGATATACTGTTATCACTAACTGCATCCAGGGAGAACAGTGTGCCTGAAAGACAAGGGTAGGAGAGTGACTTTCACAATACATCCCATTATGTATTTTGAATTCTAATCCATGGACAGATAGGACCTATTCAAGAATTAAAATTGCCCAGCACCGTGGCTCCCAACATGCTGGGAGGCCAAGGCCGGAGGATCACTTGAGCCAGGAGTTGGAGGGCTGCCTGGGCAACACAGTGAAATCTCACCCCTCAAAAAAATAAGAAAATTAACCAAGCATGGTGGCACACACCTGTAGTCCTAGCTACTCAGGAGGCTGAGGTGGGAGAATCGCTTGAGCCCAGGAAGACGAGGTTGCTATGAGACATGATGGTGCCACTGCACTCCAGCCTGGGCAACAGAGCGAGACCTTATCTCAAAAAATAAATAAAATTGCTTAAAAAACAATGGCTGTGGATACTGTGTAAAAACATGAGAAAAGATTTATGTGATAATGTTGATTTTTAAAAACAGGAAACAAACCTACATAAATACAATGTCAACCATGTTTTAATGGATTAAATAACTGAAAGGAAATCTACCAAAACAGTAACAAAATTTACATTCCATTAGCTGAGTTGACTTTGTGTGCTTTTTATTTTCTTCTTTACCTTTATTATATTTTTTAGATTTCAGATAAGAAGCATGGATCAAGGCACGTGTGGTGGCTCACGCCTGTAATCCCAGCACTTTGAGAGGCCGAGGCGGGCAGATCACCTGAGGTGAGGAGTTAGAGATCAGCCTGACCAACACAGAGAAACCCCGCCTCTACTAAAAATACAAAATTAGCCAGGCATGGTGGCACATGCCTGTGATCCCAGCTACTTGGGAAGCTGAGGCAGGAGAATCGCTTGAACCCAGGAGGCAGAGGTTGCAGTGAGCCCAGATCAAGTCATTGCACTCCAGCCTGGGCAACAAGAGTGAAACTCCGTCTCAAAGAAAAAAAGCATGAGATGCCAGATGTAGGTGATGGGGAGGAAGGCAGCAAATCACACTGCCACGTGTGTACCTATGCAACAAGCTTGCATGTTCTTCACATGTACCCCAAAACCTAAAATGCAATANCCCCAAAACCTAAAATGCAATAAAATAAATGGAAAAAGAAAAAAAAAAGAAAAAAGCATGATTAATCTTAAAACACAAAAAAATTTTAAAATTCTATGTATCTTATACGCACACAATTGTACCTATCAGCTATTAGGGAAAGCTAAAAAACAACAAGTAATTTTATCTGTCACTCTCACCTAAACTAAAAAATAAAAAAAAAATTTTAAATCAGGCCCACAGATTCTTAATGCCAACTTTCCACAAAAACATCACTGGCTCTTAGCTCCAAATAGACAGCTCTTGACCTGCTTCCTGTGGGGCTGAGAATGAGGAAGAAAACCGAGGCCTCACTCACATCCGTCTGGAGATGTGCAGGTGCCTCTGAGTTGTCATTGATCCTCCGAACACTGTCGTAGTGCTCTCCGTACCGATACGCGATGTGTAACTCCCTCACGCTGCTCTTATCTGTACCACGAATCTGTAGACAAAAAAAAGGGGCCATGCCAGTGAGGATCTGAACACTGTCAACTTCTGACAGTAGCCCACCTGGACTACTGAAGAAGCCCAGTCAGCAGTTCTATGCAGAGACGAATTGGGAACATGCCTGGGATATGTCACAAGCAATTTCCAAACTATCTCCTTCCTATGCCTGTAGGCTTCTATGTGCTTATTTAATATGTAATTCTATGGAAATAAATCCATGTAACAAATTCAAAAACCAGGGGCAGACCTGCAATGAAGTTAAATAAGCTTAAGCTTCAGAGGCTTTAGTACCTCTTAGCCCCTCTAACGCACAAGCCCCTTCCAAGGCAGAAGGCCCAGGGGCAGATCCAGATTTGTTGAGTTTGAAGCCCTATGTGAAGGCTCTCTGAAGAAAAAAATGCAAAATTACAAATAAAAAATTGGTGGAACCTCTCCCAAGACCTAGAAAGGGAGTCATACAAATGAGTGGCCTGACACTTCATTAGCTTCAAGGTAAATCCACCCCTTTCATTAAAATGAAAACAGCATTTTCTGTTAACCAAGTACGTGAGAAACATTATCAACAACAAACCCAAATCTCCCACCTACATCAACTTCAAAACAAAACTATATACAGTAAAGTGGTACTGCTGCACTGCTCAACCCTGGAGGCACCACTCACAAGATATTCTATGTGAACTACACCCCTGATGCACCCAAGAATGGGGCTCCCTAGTGTCGTGCAGTACAGAAGCCTTAAGGTCTGGGCATACCCCAAATAAAACCGCCAGCTCCACAGAAACTCTCATTCTGACTTTGTCCCTTAGAAAGCCCAGTAACTTTGTTTAAACTCCAAAACATCAGCACATTCTTTTTTCTGAAAGTCACAGGTAGTAAGATACTACCCTTAATTTAAACAGTATCCGTGGTCTAAAAACACACCAAAAACCATGGAACAGGAACTACACAAGGCTAGATGTCAGTAGTATGGAAGGTTTTTCCAGTAAAGTATGCAGACCTCAAGTGCAGAGGGTCTGGTTTAGACACATACAAAATATAGAGAGCACCATTTGTCTCCCAGAAGAGCAATGGGAAAGGAAACAGTTTATTAGAATCTTTGAATGACATCATCTCTAAAGCACTTACATACTTAATAATATACAGGCATTATGAATAGAAAAAATAACTGGAGGAATATTCACCAAACTGTTAACTGTGACTTTCATGGGCAGATTACAGAGGACTTGCATGTTCTATGTTACACACATCTAGATTGTTCACAGGAGCACATATTCCAATTATAACCAGAAAAAAAATGTAGGTTTCTATATCTCCACTGTGTGGGTATAAGTCTACTCTTTATTAATGCAAGAGCTCACAGCCATGACAGTAGCAACCAATGGAGTTTCGGTTCTTAAATTTTATGAGATGTTTCACTGGGGTAGGAAGACACAGGAGGTACCAATGGAAACATTAATAAATTTATTTTAAATATATATACTTTCAATGTTCAGGAATTTATGAAAGAGAACACTACAGAAATAAATTTGAAAAAAAATTACCTATGCAGAATTGTCTTCCACAACTACCTAGGTAACTAAGAAACTTTGGGAAAAAAATCACCAATGGAGGAAAAGGCGAGCTGATTACTGAGTTGGTGCTGTTTTCCTTCAAAATGAGGATCACTATGCTGTGTATTCAAATGATTTTGGTAACTTCTGCCAAAGAGTGTAAGTTTAATGACAAAAAATTAGAACAAAGGGGTAATCAGTATTCTTGCTCAAACATCACCCTTAGAAAAGAGAGCCCCATGGAAAATATGATAGCTCTATCTGGTGTGGTGTCAGGACATCCGCAACACTGCCCCAAAGAACACACACAGATACTGTTTCACTCCTGCTCATTCTATCCCCACAAGGTAAAACTTCTCACCATCCCTGGAGTATCTTATTTTGTTGTGGCATAATTTTGTTAAAAGGACACTGTGCCAGGGACAAAAGGCTAGTTTAATATGACATTCTGGAAAGGCAAAACTGTGAGGACGAATCAGAGAACAGCTACAAGAGGCTGGGTACTGGGGGAAGGGGCCCATGACCACAAAGAGCCTGGAAGTGACTTTTTGGAGAGTAGACTGGTCTATGTGTTGATAGTGGTGGTGGTTACATGACTGCGTTTGTCAAAACACAAACACTCGGGAAAGGATGAAGTTTGCTACATGTAAATTTTATCCTTATAAACCTATTTTTAATCAGCAAACGCTGTGACGGAGCAATTTGCAAAGGAATATATGCAGGTGCCATATTAAAAAAAAAGGCACTGTTACCTTTATGCTAATAATAATATATAAGGACAAAGAAGTGTGTGTATATATGTGAATATGGATACATGTGTGTATGTGTTTTAAATGTGTATAAAAACATTGTGGTATGTTCCTTTCTAGTTATGTATCAATGTTTTTATAGCCAAGTGTGTGTGAAAGACAGGAATACTCACTAAAACATTAACAGCAATAATCTCCCTCTGGGTGATTTAGTAAAATTTTAAATATAATTTTTAATAAAATATTTTTCTTGCCTTTATGAGCTTTTTCAATTTTCTAACTTTTCTACAATTATTGTATTTTAACCTTTTTAATTAGAAAAAGTGATAAATGGGGGAGTGGTGGAGCAGGGCTGGGTGGGTGGGAGATGAACTGAAATCACATGCCCAGTCTTTAGGAGCTGAGGTACAAAGCAACAAGCAGCACTCCAACTTTAGGGGGTGGTAGCCCGTGTTTCCACATTAGGTTCTCTGCCCTCAACTTGCCCAATTAGCTGCCTGTCGAATAATATTTAGAGCATCTATAAAGATTTCTAAATTATACTCCAGACTCCATTTGTACAAAGCACAGGGATTACTTCGGAGCCACCACAAGATTCCTGTCTTTGGTTACTCTGCATAATTCAATGTCACAGGTCAAGCCCCATCATCTTTGGATATTCCAAAGATGATCTGTAAATACGAGCTTAAGATAAATGTTTAAATAGGTGACCTACCTGCCACAAAGGGGCATTAAGTTGATGAATCACTACATTCAACTGATGATTTCTTGCAAAGGCTACAATTGCATCATTGCCAGCAAAAGTACCAGGCTTTGCCAAACTGGCCACTGCATGGAAATAGAAAAGAAAAATGAAGGCTTTATAGCAGAAAAATCCAAATGCAAACATGCTTTGGTATTTACTTATGTTCCAAATAATGAGAGACAAGGATATATATCTGAAAAGTCCATTAATTTTGTCAGAGTCTAGGAATTTAGCTAGTTGAACAATACAAAGACTGCTACTCAGAAGAACACTAGTCATTCATAAAGCAAGGACCCATTTATTCATTCCTTCAATGTCTACTGATTACTTCCAATACACTGCTAACTCAATAAAAGCCAGTGGAAACCTCACAAACACAATCATCTTAGCAGCTTGCATCAGAGAATGGTTATTATGTGTCAAGCACTGGTCTAATCAAGTCTCATAGACAAGTACTATTATATACATCATTTTATACATGAGGAAACTCAGATGCAGAATAGCTGAAAACTGTGCCAAGGTCACAGAGCTGGTACACAGCGGAAGTGAGGTTTCACTGAGGCAACCTAACGCCAAGGTCCTGGCTCTTGGCCACTCGATCAATTTTCCCTCATGGAGTTTATAACCAGTGAGGGGCAAACAAGATAGGCAATAATGATGCACAAGTGCCTCAGGAAGCGCATGTGTAGTAAGAATCTGGCCTTGCCCAAAGAGAAGTCTGGCCTTTATCCTGGGCTCCTGGGAAGTCACTTCTAACCCTCCAGAATTCCCAAAGGTGATGGGAGTGTCTGCTATTCATGATGGGCCCCTCCACCACACCTGGAATCAGCCCTTTGTGGTGGTGATGGGGTGAGAGGGGAGACTGAGTTCAACCATTCAGACAAGCAATAAATCAATAAGCAAAACAAAACAAAAACCTCTGGACACCAAAGTTGGGGTGAGCTTCCCCAGGTGACAATATTCTGTGTGTACCGTCACACACAGATGCCAGGAGGAGAATATGCCCTAAAGACAACAGAAGCTTCTAGTTTGGAGCCTTTCCAGACTGCCCTATGCATCTCTTTCTTTGGCTAGTATTGATCTGTACCCTTTCCCTGTAACAAACCACAACAGCTTTCAGTGAGTTCTGTGAGTCCTATTACCGTATTATGGAACCTAAGGGTGGTTCTGAGACAGTCCCAACTTGTAGATGGTATCAAAAGTTGAGGGAAGTCTTGCAAGGACTGTGCTCTCAAAACCCTGCAGTTTGGCTAATTCCAGGTGGTGAACATAAGCCAAAGTGGAAGTGAGGAGGGGGAGGTAAGGTGTAGCAGATGAGCTTCTCGGCTGAGACAAATAAGCTAATAAGCTAATACTCAAAGGACAAGGAGGAGTTAAGACAGGAGAAATGGATGATGTTCCAAGAAGGGGCAAGATAGGCAGGAAAGGGACAGAGAGAGAAACTCTAGTATGGCAGGAACTGGGCAAGCTGAGGTGGAAGGGTGGAGGAAGTGAGAAATGTTGGGGGGAATGGCAAGAGCTGAGGACTGAGAAATAAGAAAATCCCAGGCCATGAAGAACTAAAAAGTCTAGGCTTTATCCTGAGGTCAATGGGGAGCCACCAACAGGTTTCAGACAGAGGAAAAACACATTTAGAGTCCACTCTGGTTGTAATGTAGAAAACAGACTGAGGGAATCAAGAGACAATGATACCAAACAGTACTGAGGAAATCTAAGCAAATGGACACAGAGGTCTGATCTTTCAAGGTAGTAGCAGTGAAAGAAAAACTACTGAGTTAGAGTGATAAGATGTAATGAACGGGTTTGAGGAGGGAGGAAGATGAGCATTAAGAATACTCAGGTTCTGATCTGGATATCTGTACAGTTGGGGGAAAGATGTTGCTGATTCTCCGAAACCACAGTCTACAAAGAAAGAATAATCCTAAAGATACAGCCAGATGCAAGGGCGACCAGGTCCTCACCAGTCTAGTGAACCATTCATTTATTTATTCATTCAACAAATACTTTATGATGCCTATCAGATGCCGGGCACTGCCGCACTGCAAAACAAAGACATGGTACCTGCCCTCAAGAATCTCACAGTACAAGGTAGGCAGACTGACATTAAAAACAGGTAATTATGACTCAAGACTGATAAATGTAACAAGCCAAGCCTTCAACTGACACACAAAGAGAATGTGCAGACTTCCAGGTTTCTTTTCATTTCTGCTCTGGCCGTCAAAGCCACTTTTCACTTCTGTGATGCTAAAACTCTTATGCAACTCCAAGCAACAGGCATGCGTAGAGACATTTCAAGAAAACACCTTTCATTGTTCATCTAAAGCAACTATCACCTTGGCAACTGAAAATTTAAGTTCCCTATCCTGTAACACCCCCATATCCACCATGTCATCTTCACTGACAGTGTTCAAAGTGGAGTTTCACATCACAAACTAAAACCCTGTTTCATCCAAAATGATGTTTTAATTGAATTAATGACACAATTCATTTCATACAGCACTAAACTACAAAATTTGTCCCATATATATACATTTAATTTTTAAACTGCTGACCATCAGGTAAACTATGTCTATCTGCCAGCCAAAAAGTAATCCCAGGAAGAGGGACCACCTGAACTCAGTGACTGGTACAAACTGCCCACTGGAAGTTTTGCTGCTCTGTGTCTGGTGCCTAATGAGTAAGTTATTTCCTAGTGAGGAATGGGAAAGGCTTTGTGATCACTGATAGCTTTCCTCCCAAATGTTTCCCACCTGCTGGCCTCCCTCTTGCTTACAGCCACCTACCCATTCCATAAGAAGCAACTTCAGAAGGACTCTTGTCTCCTTCCTCTACCCTCCTCACCTCCAATGCGTCCTGTCAATTACACTGCCACAGTGTGCCTTGGTTTGGGCCTTACTCATTATCCTGACTTGACGGAGACTTCCTCTACTCTCATCTGGCCAATGTGGAGAGCCTTCTAACTAGTCTCCCTTCTCAGTCTCTCCCCATCCATTCTTGACATGGCCTCCAGAGTTAGCTCTCTAAAACACAGGATCAATTCTCTTTCCTGATAACAGACAGAAAAGTCTATAAGCCCTGTGATGAAAATGCCATTTGTAAAACATATCAGCAGCGAGCATAGTAGATCCTCAGTAAACATTTGTTGAAATTAAACTTTACAAGTTCATATGCATTTTCTATAAAATCTGTGCCTATTAAATAGGAACCAATTAAAATCACTGACTGACTTGCCTCAAAGAAAACAGATTGTGTTTGGGATTTTGGTGAGAAATTAACATGACTTTATTGGTTTTTCTAATTTTAAAAGTAATACATGATCATCTAAAAGTCAGAAAAAGTCTACAGAAGATAATTTAAAATACCATAGTTCTACCATCCCCAGATGGCTAACGCTTACTAAGAGCTTATTTTAATTTTGTTATCTAATTTAATCTTCACCAAAAAACCCTATAAGATAGATGCTATTATTATCTCCCTTCTATAGAAATTTAAAGAGAATGAGTAATTTCTGAAAAATAAGTGAAGCTAAGAACTAACAAACAAGTTAGTATCTTCCAGACTTTTTCTACTGTGCATGTATGTGTATACCTTTTAAAAATAGGATCAATCTGTACACACTATTTTATAGCCTGCTCTTCCCACCCCACTAAGAAGTCATCAAAAGCTTTTCAGATCAATTAACATCACCATGTTTATTAAGGGCAAACACAGTAATAACTACTGATCCCCAACTACCTAGCATGCCGCCAATGATCGAGTAGGCAAATAAATATTTGTTGAATAAATGAATGTCACGATTTATATAACCAAACACACTTGGCTGGGAGTGTGGAGGATGCTAGGGGACTTAATTCCCCAATGCGGGACTCCTGAAGGATCCAATATCCCACAGTGAACCTACCATGCTTCTCAAAAGGAACGTCATCTTCTACAAAGGGTTCAAAATCTTCCCGCTGCTTTATCATGTAGTCCACCGTCTCCTGCCTGTGCTTGAGATGATTTCGTGAGTGTCCCTCCAATTGATCACCAAGAGCTCTGAACAAGCAATTGCTGTCAAAACAACAACATGGGTCAAGACCTTTCAAAAATGAACTTAGTTCATCTAAAATATGCTTCATGCCAATTATCCATAGAAATATTTTGTGCCCACAGATATAAAGCCTCAACTCTAATAGTCCAGAATTCTTCCAAGACCCAGGGGGACAGCACAAGGGCATATTCAACCATATTACCTCCTTGAGAGTCAGCAAACAAGGATTTAATTCCCCATGTACCAGCTGGCTGACTCAGGAGAGTCATTAAACTTCCCCGGGCCTCAGCTGCTTCAACAAGTGGAGCCGATGATATACTAACCACCTGACTATAAGGTCCAGACCTTATAGGCCAGTCCATGTCTAAGGGCTATGATTCACAGATCCTCTTCCAAAATGATGTCTTAATACTGCCTCTTTTCTAAACCAAGTTCTACTACAGCTGCCCAGCTAAGTAATCATTCATTTAACAAAGAGTACCCAAAAAACAACAATTTGTCAAGCTCCCAATACAAACAACTGAACTCAACACTCTGGGTCCTGAGAACATAGTGGAGAAAGCTAGGAGAAGGAAAGCACTTGGACAACAGTTGCACGGTGGAAAGACACTTCCTCCTTGCCTCCTCACCTGTCACCCAGAGAGCAACAACGCCATTGTTATTCCTGCCAAATGAAAACTTTAAACACCATATTTTGTTTCTCTAAAATTAAAATAGTGGTAATAAACAGTAAGAGTTATCTTTACTTTCAAACCCCTCAAAGGCTTCTGAATTCCAAACTATATCACACAGAGGCTCAGATAGAGACTGAAACAAGACAAATACAATCTGGTATCCTTAAAACTATGGAAATAAACAATTCTGAAGCCAAACAGTTGCCTAGTTTTACACCAAACTGTTTATTCTTCCAAATGAAAAAGTACGATACTCTAATTCCAAAATATAAACTCATCACTTTCAGAAAGACTTCATGTCTAAATGTGTAGGAGAAAAGGAGGTTTTGTTTTTCAACTCAGAAAAGTGAAATTTCAACAGAAAGCTATAGAAAGGCAGGAATCTCTTCTAATGTATAAGAATATATACTCTTTTTTTTTTTTTTTTTTTGGCAGGGGAAGGGAGAATTAAGACAGATTCTATAAATTAAAAAGCAAGAAGCTTTGCAACAATCTAAGATAAGATTCTAGAAGGGACTGGAATATAGAGTTCTACAGGCTAGACAGAGGTGTCCTGCTAAAATCTGATAATGGTAGTCTTTTTTTAACCACGGAGAAAAGTAAGCTAATGGATAAAACAATTTCAATATTAAGCTTTTCTCTGAAACTTTTCTTAAACCTTTAGCATCTGTCACCACTAGTCTCTTCTCGAATCTAGTTTAAGAGATGTGATTTATCACAAATTTATGTATTTAGTTATTTTACATTTAATGTACCAAAATTCATGGTATTCTACAGTTACACATTTGCTAAGAACTTTTAACAACATGAGCAAATGTTCTCCAGAAAAGCCAAAAAAGTAGGTGTAAAACTGTAATATGCCACATGAGCTCAACCATGTTCATCTACACGCTATATACAAACAGGCATAGAAACACACACAAATCTATGCCAAGAAAATACACAGGAACAACCACTTAAATTGTTCTTACAATGTGCCAGGGACTGTTCTAAACACATTATATGCATTAAACACGTTTAGTCCTCACAACTCTGAGACAGGTCCTATTACCAGCTCCCAAGGGAAACCTGCCCAAGGTCCCAAAACTGGTGAGTGGTAGGCCCACGATCCAAGTCCAAACAACCTGGCTCTCACTCAAATGTCAACCCCAAAATGATAGCCATAGTTGTCCCTGGGTAGTAGAATGAAGAGTAACGTTTAAGAGTAATTGTTACATTTTTTAATATGCTTTTCTATACTTCCCAAACCTTGAGATCACTAAAAGCAAGTCAAAATAGACAAATTACTTCCTTTTCTGACAGGATTACAAGGTAATGAACAAATGCTACAGTGACCTGGGTTTCCTTAGGGGAGCCCAACAAGAGCACTCAAGAAACTCATGAGATCAAAGCACCACTGCCTGGGCCACTTCCTGAGTTCACGATCTCACCCACAACCTACAGCAGGGCTCCTCACTCTCCACGCTACCGACGTTCCAGGTTCATTTTTTGTCATGGGAGGCCATCCTATGCACTGTACGAAGTTTAAGAGACTACTTGGCCTCTGCCATTAGCTGTCAGTAGCACATCACTACCTTCCTCCCCAACAGCTGTGACAACCAAAAATGTCTCCAGACATTACCAAATGTCCCCTGGAGGGCAAAATCACCCCTGCTTGAGAAGCACTGTGCTATAGGGATATATGTCAGGTCTTGCATTTCAGTTCACAAAAACAACCAATTACCTGTACATAAAGAGCATGCAAATGTTTTGAGTGCACAATAATTTAGTATAAGACAATCTTGCAACACAGGCACCAAAAAACCTAACGTGCTCTCTAGGCTGCAGTAATAATAGTAAATGTGCAGAAAAAGGAGAAGGTATTGTTCTATTCTTTGAGGTCATACCACAGTTAGGGTACTGGGTACCATTCCAGGTACTGTATTTTACAAGCGGTATGTTCAGATAAGATGAAGTGGCTTTAAATACAATATGAAGAACTATTAGTGATGTTTAGCCTAAAGAAGGCCCAGGGGGACACGATCAATACCTCCAACAGTAAGGTGAAATTAAAATTATACTTGTATAATAAAACGAAAACCTGGAAGCCATAGAGACAAAGACTTTGGCAAATAAAAGGTAATTTTACCTTAGCTCTATAGAGGTTGACTATATAGACTCATGATTTTGCAAATTTCTATAACTAGCAATTCACAGCAATTGTCTAGATATGTGTTAATTGTGACTGCTAACCGCATGTAACTACTGAGCACCTGACGTGGCTATTCCACAATGAGACATGCTATCAGTGTAAAATACTAGATTCTGAAGAGGTCATATAAGCAAATATGAAATCATTAATCATTTTTATATTGAATCCTATGTCAAAAATAGTAATATTTTAGATATAACAACTTAAATAAAATACATTAAAATTAATTTCAACTGTTTCTTTTTAATGTGGCTACGGGAAAAATTTAAATCACAGATGTGGTTCACATTCCATTTCCATTGGACAGCACTGATCTAGATCACTGATTCCCAAAGTGTGTTCCCTGACTAGGAATATCAGTATCCCCTGGGAACTTGTTAGAAATGAAAATTCTGGGGTCCCACACAGGCTTGCTAAATCAGACATTCTCGGGTTGGGGCCCAGCAACCTAGCCCTTCCAGGTGTTTTCCCTAGCACTCCAGGTGGTTATGTTGCATGCTAAAGTTTAAGAAACACTAGTCTAGAATCTAGACTCTAAATCAGTCATTCTCAATTATAGATGCATATAAAAAAAAAAAAAAAAAGTCAATAACTAGGCCCCTACTCTAAGATTCTGATGTAGTTGATCTAGAGGAGAGCACAGGCCCAGAATTTTTTCAAAAGTTCCTCCCCAGATATTCTAGTATGGCACCCAACTGAAAACCACTGATACCACTGCTGTTCAGGTGATACAGGCACTAATTAGACAAGATGACATGTGAATGCCCTTCTACTATTATGACCCTACAATATTAAAAACAAAACTAAAATAAAAAAAGCTACTTGTTAATAATCGAGATAAATAGCTAAAATGAGTGACTCTTCAACATTTTAATTTTAGAACACTGCTAATGAGTAATGTAATTTAGCACTACGTTTAGTGAGACACAATTAGATATAGTTCAGAGGGATAATATCTCCCTGCCTAACAGTTATACATTCTTTTCACACTACAGCCAATCATGTTTTCAAGGACAATGTCAAGGTTAAACTAGTTCTTGTTTTGAAAAATGAATGCAATTTATGTGGGTCTACCTCCAGACAACACACCAAACATGAAGCTGGTCCAGGACGCATTACAAAAGCCTCTAAGTAGCTCCCTAATTAATCTATGCTAAGCTGACTCAACTCACGTAAAGGCTATATTACAAGATACTGGCTAATTCATCCCTAAACTTACTCTCAGGTTCCAGAATGCTACCGGTACCATTGCCAACAATGAAGATGCCTATAGCTAGATACCATACCAGGCTACTGCAGACTGCACAGATCTGAATGACAAGAGGGAATGCTAGAGATGTCAACTATTTTTGAATAGTCTTTAACTTCATTATATTTCACCCTGAGTCCTTAACAAACATTAATAAAAGAATCTGTTGACACCTGCCAACCCACCACATACATAGGAAACACCATCCCCTGCAGTGATAAAGTCTGTCATCACCACATTCGAAAGGACTACAATACTGAAGAGGGCTGAACCACAGTCCATCTAATGGTACACAGGTGGGGCACTTGTGAACAGAGGGTGGTTAGCTTCATGAAGCCCACACAAGAGGAAATATCACTATCATTTTATCTAACATTGTCCAAAGAACAGGGACCTTGGAATAGAGACATAAGCGCTCCAGTCAAACTGGTCTCTGCAGCCTAGCTTCATTGCCCGTTACTTTTACTCTTATGCCCTACACTACTGTCACCCTGAACAACCTGTGGATCTCCCAAAAATAACATGTCCTTGTGCCTCTGTATATACTCCTCCTCAGATGGGAACGTTCTCTTGGTGTACTCCTATTGGTCCTTCAGGACCCAATCAGAGTATGATCCACTTTGAGAGGCATCTAGCAGTGTATTCAATGAATATTTACCAAATGAATGAGGAGGCCTTCCTGACCAATTCATAGAGTGGTAGCCTTTTCCTTCTCAATAATATCACTATAATCAGTCACTGTTCCTAAAAATATATCAAACTATATTTTAATTATTTGTATCATTTGTTCTCAAAGTGTGGCCCAAGGGACTGGAGAGGTGAGAAGGTCTCTGATACTCTTTCAGGGTATCTATGAGTTGAAAACTAAGATGTAATTAATTTACCCTTTTCATTCTCATTCTCTCACAGGTGCACAGTGGAGTTTTCCAGAGGCTACCTGATATATGAAGTTATCACTCTGACAACTAATGGAATGTGTTGTGTCTTCTTGTGTTTTAAAACTTTTACTTTCTAATAACTACTCATAGCTATAACCCATATAAAGAAAAGCTCTTTGGGTTCCTCAGTAATTTTTAAGAATGCAAAGAGACGTTAAGACCAAAAAGGCTGAGACCCATTGTTACAAGTTTCTACCTTAGGCTATAAATGAAGTCCTTAAGTATCCTAGTTATCAACATATTCCCAGCACCCTACTTAAGATGTGCTAAATTAACTTGAGAAGTATGCTCTGTGTGTATGGGGGTGTGGGGGTAGGGAGAAGTAGTACCCCCAAAGTTTCCCATAACCTTATGAAAGCCCCCTCAAGAGTTTACAACTCCCTGTGCTGATTCCTCCCTCTTAAGTAATCACCTGCTGAGCACTTCAGTTTCCTGGGCACCCTGACATTGAGAATACCATACCCAGTATAGCAGACACAAGCAATCCAATCATTAGCAAGGAAAAGCCCCCATGTCCCATGCTAATTTCATTGTATTCAATTGGTATTTTAGCTTATATAGCAGCGTTTTGTGCTTATGCTTAGGCTAGCTGGCCTCCCTCTACTATATAGTGTGTGTGTGTGTGTGTGTGTGTGTATATATATATATATATATATTTTTTTTTTTTTTTAGATGGAGTCTCGCTCTGTCGCCAGGCTGGAGTGCAGTGGCCAACTCACTACAACATCTGCCTCCCAAGTTCAACCGATTCTCCTGCCTCAGCCTCCTGAGTAGCTGGGACTATAAGAGTGCACCACCATGCCCAGCTAATTTTTGTATTTTTAGTAGAGACAGGGTTTCACTATGCTGACCAGGATGGTCTCCATCTCTTGACCTCGTGATCCCCCTGCCTCGGCCTCCCAAAGTGCTGAGATTACAGGCGTGAGCCACTGCGCATGGACTATTTTTATATTTCATTTAGCAAAAATGTACTGACTGCCTTCCATGTACCAAGCGCTATGCCAGGTGATGGCGAATAAATGCAATCAAGCTCCAATTGCATCTTAAGCAAAAACAGCAACGCAGCAGTGTGGTGAATTCTTTGTGAGCAAAAAGAAATCCAATTTGCCTGAAGCAATGAGCATATATAGGAAAGGTGGGGAAGTTACATTAGGGTCAGTTCACAGTCTTAACCAATAAGCTGCAATGTAATGTGAAATTTTTAAGAACACTTTCTTCTGCAGTTAATATCTAAGGCCATTCCTGGCCGGTGGGTGGCAGCTCATGCCTGTAATACCAGCACTTTGGGAGGCCAAGGCAGGAGGATCGCTTGAAGCCAGGAGTTCGAGACCAGCCTAGGCAACGATCCCCGTCTCTATAAAATAATAATAATAATGAACTAAGGCAGTTCCTTACGGTCTTTAATTTCATTTCAGTCTTCCCTCTGCTGGACCTGAGCACTCAGATATGGGGAGGAAAAAAACAAAAGCTAGGTTGTTATTAACACTCTCTTCCAAACTGACACATCTGACAATCAGATCCCCTTTTACCTGCCCCTGCAATGGGGATCCTAACTGTTCTCCCCTCTTTCTGGCCCTTTCCCTTCTTCCGTCCATGTTCCTGGAGCCATATCCCCTTTCTTGAAGCTAATTTTCCTCCTCCCCACCTTCTCCCTCTGCGTTCGCTAAAGAAAGCTGGATCTGGATTCGGTCTAAGTCCCAAGAAAGCCTGGGTAAGCACCTTTGCTTAGAGAGAAACTGAGGCCCATGGAAGCAGGAATTAGAGAAGCTGCCTTCAGCTCAATAAACAACAGGCCCTCACACACCTAATTTCACAAATGTAAATGGAGGCAACACACAACCAATAAGGACTCAAAGGAGTCAGGGCGTTCTACCAGGAGGGGCTTACTTCTCCTTCGAGTGATCTTATCGTCATGATGACTGTTTTTCCAATGCCTGGCTCCATCTCATTCCTTCAGAACTCAGCTTAAATGTCACCTTTCAGAGAGCCCTTCCTGGCCGCAATCCAGTGGCCCCGCTCCGGCATACGTTCTTAGGACCCACTTTCTATTTCGCTCGCGGCGTCTGCCATGATTAGGACCCTCTGGGATCCCAGCGAGTGCCTCGGAGCGAGGGGCTTGTCCGCCTCGCTCGCAGCTGGACGCCCTGGCCTCAGAGCGTGGCTGGCTCGCGGGAGGCGCCCGGGCCGCCCGAATGAATGGATGGATGGACCCGAGCGGGCGACGGTGGCCAAGCCGAGCCCGGCGCGTCCCCCGGCGCCGCCTCCCTAGCTCCCGGCCCGCCTCACCCGTCCCCCGGCACCTCCCGCAGCTTCAGCCCCAGGGCCTGCAGCTGGTTGGCGAAGCTGACGAACTCCTCCTCGCAGCCGCCGCCGCCGCCGGACTCCGGCCGGTTCCGCCGCTCCTTGGCCAGGGCCCGGCGCGTCGCCCGCTCGTCCCGCTTGCGCTCGGCCTCGGCTTTCCGGCTGCCGCTGCCCGGCCGGCTCTTTGCCGCCTGCTTTCGGGACATGGCCAGCAGTCCCCAGCGGCGGAAGGGAAAGCCGCAGGACCCACCGGCGGCCGCCTCAGGTGTCCAGAAGGCAAAACAGTGCGAGCGACAGACCCCGGCGACGACGACGCTGCCTCAGCGCCTGCGCCGGTGCCCGGCACCACGGTCACGTGATAGAATCCCCGCCTCCTTCGCGGGGGCTCGGCGAGCAGATGCCATTGAGAGCTAGAGGGACACCCATCTTGGTTTGTTCTATTTCGCCCTCTAGCGGTGGGCGGTACTCAATGTAAGTGGCAGGAGCGACAGGAGAGGGACTGGAGCGAACAAAGCAAAGAAAAAGTCAAGGAGAGAAATTAAAGATGATAGAAGAGTGGAACACAGAGCAGCGGCAGAAGTTAGGACGGGAGATGAATAAAAACGATTTAAACTCTTGTAGCCTACTACTTGGATAGGCAGTTTCACATGGTTCATTCTTGTTTAATTATCCCCACGTTACAGGAAACTGAATCTGAGAGGTTAATTTCAAGATGACAAAGCTAAGAGGCAGTGCTTTGCCCCGGCTCCAAAGCCCGCACACTTGTTTATTTCATCCTGCCCTTCATGTCTCCGCTTTCCTTCATAACTCAAGGGAGAGGCCGCCCTTCTGTCCAAGAACACTGGAAATCCTGATTCTATCCTAGAGGGACCCACCTGGGGCCTGGACTAAGGGTTTTCTTGGGATGCAGGACTTTACGTTTTAAAACTGAGACAGGCGGGGCGCGGTGGCTCACGCCTGTAATCCCGACACTGTGGGAGGCCGAGGCAGATCACCTGAGGTCAGGAGTTCGAAACCAGCCTGACCAACATGGTGAAACCCCATCTCTACTAAAAATGCAAAAAATTAGCCGGGTGTGGTGGTGGGCACCTGTAGTCCCAGTTACTCAGGAGGCTGAGGCAGGAGAATTGCTGGAACCGGGATGTGGAGGTTGCAGTGACCCGCGATCGTGCCATTGTACTCCAGCCTGGGCAACAAAAGTGAAACTCTGTCTCAAAAAAATACAATAAAACAAAACTGAGACAGTCCTAGGAAAACCAGGATGATTGGTCAGCCTAGTCCATACCCCCCTGTTCTGGAACCTCCCTCCAGCAGTGGTCCCCTCTGCTCCCTCATCCTGTTTCTTTCTTTTTAACCCTCTCCTTTCCCATAGTAATGCCACTTCCTTCTCCTTTTGGCTCTTTAACCAATCTTACCATCCCTGGGAGTGTTTCCAATGTTTTTGCCCTTAATCATCTTATTCTCGGCCCAGCACGGTGGCTCACACCTGTAATCCCAGTACTTCGGGAGGCTGAGGCCGGCAGATCACCTGAGGGCGGGAGTTCGAGACGAGCCTAACCAACATGGAAAAACCCCGTCTCTACAAAATTAGCTGGGCGTGTTGGCACATGCCTGTAATCAGCTACTCAGGAGGCTGAGGCAGGAGAATCGCTTGAATCCGGGAGATGGAGGTTGCAGAGAGCCGAAATCACACCATTGCACCGCAGCCTGGGTAACAACAGCAAAATTCCATTTCAAAAAAAAAATCTTATTCTCTCACTCTGCCTACAAGTTCCCGTTTGGCAATAGCCTCCACTTTCTCAATTTCAGCTAGCATCTCTATCATCAATATGTAAATAACATAACTCTCATTTCCTGTGCTGGGTGTCAGGTATAACACCCAACCAGAGAGACCTAATGATTGCCGTCAAGGAGCCCAGAGTCCAGTGGGGGATACAGGCAAAGACAAAGCCGTTACAATACTGCATGACAAATGCTATCAAGGAGCACAGTGTGTCAGGGGAAGGTGAAAAGTGGAGTGAAAAATGCAAATGGCAGCCGAGCTCGGTCGCTCACACCTGTAATCCCAACACTGTGGGAAGCCGAGGTGGGTGGATCACCTTAGGTCAGGAGTTCAAGAACAGCCTGACCGACATGGTGAAACCCCGTCTCTACTAAAAATACAAAAATTAGCTGGATGTGGTGGCAGATGCCTATAATTCCAGTTACTTGGGAGGCTGAGGCAGGAGAATCGCTTGGACCCAGAGGCGGAGGTTGCAGTGAGCCAAGATTGCACCATTGCACTCCAGCCTGGTGACAACAAGAATCTGTCTCAAAAAAAAAAAAAAAGTTGCTTTCTCTCATCACTGGCTTGCCCTTGAATTCTTTCCTGGGTGAAGCCAAGAACCCTCCCAGACTAAATCCAATTGGGGACTTACCTGTCCCACATCAGGTTGAAGGGAGAATGCAAGGTAGGAGGCTCCTGTAGGTGTCCAAAGACACGTGATGGTGACGACTTGGGCTGGAATGGAGAAGAAGTGCAGATTGGAAAGACAGATATCACAGGTGAGTAAAAGTTCACAAAACAGAGTTCGCAAAAGTTCACAAAATTGCACTAAATCATGGGCTGTTTCACGTTTCACGGTTTCTGAAATTCCTCCTCTACAAATTCTTCCTTTGTTCTCAGAAAGAGAGAGCATGCATTGTGACTGGCCTGGCCCTTTTCTGCACAGACATCCGAGGCCTCCACTGACCCCTCAGCTCACATTTAGTAAAACTGAGAGGCGGTGTTGGGAATGAAAAACTCCCTAGACAGGGTGGCAGAGACCTAGGTTCTGGTCCAGGTGTGTCAGTGACTGACTCCTTGACTTTGGGTTAGTTGTTGAACCTCTTAGCTTCCGTTTCTTCATCTGTAAGATGGGAATAATGACAGTGAACACCAAACGCAATTATAATCACAAGCCTTTATGGTGTTTACTATGTGCCATGCACTACAAATACTATCTTCTTTTTTTTTTTTTTTGGAGACGGGGTTTCACCATGTTGGTCAGGATGGTCCCCAACTCCTGACCTTGTGATCCGCCTGCCTTGGCCCCCCAAAGTGCTGAGATTACAGGCATGAGCCACCGCACCCAGCCAAGAAATTTTTTTAAAAAAGAAAAATGGCCGGGCGCGGTGGCTCACGCCTGTAATCCCAGCACTTTGGGAGGCTGAGGCGGGTGGATCACGAGGTCAAGAGATCGAGACCATCCTGGTCAACATGGTGA